TTACTAAGATTATCCGTCCGACACGATTCTAGATATTTAAAATATGGGCCAAGGTTAAAATAAAACAATGGGGAATTTTCAAGTTAGGTAGTTTTTGAGTCAGCTGGGAGTCAGCTTACAATATTACCTACGGGTGTCCTAAAATAAACTGAGTTGTTAGCTCACATAGATTATTTTATTTACATAAAGGGTATTCTAAAATAAAAATATAACAACATTTGCTACACTTTTTGTTCAAAGTGTGCTAATTTGTATGCTATTACATTTTTGGGACATACAGTAAGCAAACATGGGTACGGTCTGTTTATTCTTTACCCTGAGCCAAGACCGGGGGGGGGGGGGATTTCTCATATCTTAAAGTACAAAAGCAGGCTATGTTTTATATTTTACAATCTTAGAATCCATTTCCGATATCATTGGAAACCACTGTCAGGTTAGCTTATAGAATTATTTCGTGAAAACTGATAATACTTTTTATATTTTCAGTTTTCATTTACAGCTTGAACTTAACATCTCTACCCTTGAAATCCCCTTAATCCCTGCTACCTTCCCTCTACTCATATAACCAAATCCTTTGTTACTTTCTGCAGAATGCAGCCCCCCTTTTTTTCTCTTTTTACAAATTTATTTTGTTTTAATTATTTCATTTTGTCCATCTTTATTGAGCTCCTTAATTACTTTCACAAAGTTATACATTGAGTACAGCGAGCACTAGAAAACTCTGAAATATGAAGACGATTTCGTAAATTTATAACTTCAAATAATCCAATGCGCATAAGACCCAGCATATTTGCAATGTTAACAGACCCAATTACCTAAACTATTAGTTTATTAGTGTTGAGTAAACCTATTTGATTTGTAACAACATCAAATATATTTAAGTATTGCTACAATTGCTTCATATTCCATTGTTTTCTAGTTATCACGGTAACAAAACGGAAGTGCAATAAAGCAATTATCATTTGTGTAACTAAAGAAATGACATAGTTTGACAGTCATTCAATCATTCTCTTGAAAGTAAATTTGTGACAAACAAGAATATTTAGTACTCATTAAGAACTGATTATACTTGCAAAAGGATTACACCATCTGGTTGCAAAGATAAAGGGAAAGAAAAATCAGAGTTTAAGCAAGACAATTATAAAATAATAATTTTTTCTTCTGATTCTTTTCATTTTTTAAAATGTTAAATGAAGTTTGTTGCTAAAACTTGAACTGCGAATATTGAATCTGAAGCGTAGATTCTGAAAATATTAACAAAGAAATTGGAAAGGCGTTAGACGCAAAAAGAAAAATATCTCAATTATAAATTTTAGATCATATTTCTATTTTACTAAAAGTGCTTCTATACCTTTCAAAAATTCATGTTGTTCCAGAAATTCTGAGAAAACAAGTTATTTTCACAAATTTTAAGGTGGAAAAATTATTAAAATTTAGTTGAACCAATACAAAAATTTACGTGATTCAAAAACGAATTCACTAGAAAAAATTGAATGTACTTTTTATCTGCAGGTTCATACATCCTACACAACCTCTAACTATCCTACACAACCTCTAAACTATCCTACACAACCTCTAAACTATCCTAAACACAACCTCTAAACTGACCATGACGGCTTTCTTTGTAAAAATAAAGACTGTTTATAATCCAGGGATATTCAAGCTCAGTTACATTTGCACCCTTGACGGTGGATACAACGTTTAAATGCTGTCTGATAGTATTTCCTCCAATCCTAGGTTCCCTCAGAGTTATGCAATTGATCTAAGATCTAAGAAATATAATTTTTTTTAAATTCTTTGTTCTTTGAACAATTTTTTCTAAGAACTTCTTAAAACTTTTCACAGATTCTAGAATATTATTTGAACAAATATTAGAAAGTTAGTTAGTTACACGGACAAAAGAACTTATTATTAGCTCAAACGCTAACTCTTATCCTTATATCTTTAAAACCTGGGGCAAAATTTAAAGAATTTGAGCCGCGTTTCAAAATTGAGACGCGGCTCAAACATGGTTGGTTCCATTTGAAATTTTTTTGAGATTTTAGCCGGCACTTAATTGGAACCGGTTTTTGGCGGTTCAGTTACGCGGTTTAAATTTTTAAACTTCTGAATACGTAGTCCTTTTAATTTCAAATTTTGAATTCTTCCAGATTAAAAATCAAAGCTTAAAACTTTTAAGCATAGATTGATAAAGATAACAGATAGGACACTAGATGTCGCCTTTTCAATATTTGGATGAAACTTGTTCACAATAACCCTGAGGCAGAAGCCCAGAGGAGTTTTGCGCAGTTGGCGTAGAATTACAAGACAGAGAGAGACTGTTCTACGCCGATTGCGCGAAACTCCTCCGGGCTTCTGCCTTAGGGTTATTGTGAATGAGTTTCATCTAAATATTGAAAAGACGACATCGAGTGTCCTATCTGTTATTTCAATTAATCTATGCGTTTAAGGATTACAACTTTAGGGACCGTATTTAATTAATTAGAGAGGTCGTTGAACTACGCAACACCGGTTCAAATCCTAAATCAACGATTCAAATCTTGTGTATCTTTAACTTTGAAACGGTAATTCAGAATTTAAGCATGTTGTAGATAATTTAACAACCTAGCTCAAATTCATAGATTCGGTTCCAGGTTGAAAAAATATAGAATGAAAAATTTGAATTTGAGACGAGTATTAAGTTCCTTTGAAATCAGACATGCCACACTTTTCAATGAAGGGCCCTTGAAAAATACATGTACAGCTCTTTTAAGCATTTTGTCAAACATGCGTGCACAGCTGTTTCATCTTTAACAATTCTTTCAAGAATCAAGTTATTTCAAAATGATGCAAATAAGATGCAAATTAAAGAATCGACACAATTGTAAAAAGTCTCTGGTTTGAGAAGCCAGTTTAGTGGTGAAACCATACCAGTGTTGCATTTTTACATTGTCTGCTCCACACCTTCTGGTAGATTTGAATATAATTGGTAGATTTACTCAACACCTTCTTGTAGATTTGAAAACATTTGATAGATTTTCTACTCTACACCTTCTGGTAGGTTTGAAAAAAAAATCAAACAACAAATCAACTGCAATAGTTCCACTCAAACTCTCTAAGACCTACATTTTCACCTTATTTTTCAAACTTAAACTATTTTCTGAAGCAAAGTACATATTAATAAGTTACACTGAAATTAGAAGTAGAGCCAGAAAAATTAAGTTTGACTTGAGTCCTGCAACAAGTTAATTTATTTAATTTGGGTAAAGAAATTGAGTCTTTGACACAAACTCTGATTTTCCATATTCCCATATAGATATATTAAGCTGTGAATTCTGCTAGATCAGATATCTAGGTTTCAAATATAAAAAAATTTGCACTATCAGGAAGGTATAGGTATTAGAAAATTTGATTTTGTGGCAAAAACAAAATCCTTTTTTTCAAATATTTTGAAAAAATATAATTTTCATCCTGGCTGAAAAGTGTTTTGCATAACTCTGGTTCCGTAACCTTCAGATAATTAGAAAATGAACTTTGTGACAGAAAAGGGAGAAAAGAAATTACATAAAGTGATCCTAGAACTTCGAGCTCTGGTTGTTGTTGATAGATAGATAGATAGATAGATACAGATTTAAAGTGAAATCTGAATTAATCAGATTCTAGATTTATTCTCTCAGGCAACCTTGAGGTCAATCTAGTCGATGGAGGCTGCAAGGGGGGGGGAAGAGGCCGAACAGAGGCTTTAAAAGGGGGGAAGGACTGAACAGGGGAGGGGGCTGATTATAGGGAACTTGGGGCCTCATCTCAACAAACTTTCTTCTTCTGTAAACATTAAAAGAGAAAATTATTAGTCTGTGGATTATGATTAAGATTGAAACCTAAGGTCTAGAAGTGCATAAGTAGAAGTCAAAGTACACTTCTCAAAGTTGGTGTCGGTATAATGAAAACTAAAGGAATGGCGGTTCTAAGCGATCACCATTGGTACAATATCAAGAGTAAGATTGAGCTGAGAAACCTGATACTAGATCTCTGGTAGGAGCAATTCTTTACAAATTTTATAACAACTCATTTGTTTTGTTTTCCTTAATGTTTTTTCCCTCTAACCCTTGTACAATGTACAACCTGTCATTTTCTATCGTTTTCTGAAAGTGATTAAACGTTCATACCTATTTTCATGCAATTAAAATTGCACTTAGAAATATTTTTTTTTTATTTTCTTACTTTTTTCATCTGTACAATCTTTTTATTACAAGTTTAATTTTAAAAGCCTTTTGATTTTCACATTTTTAGATACTTACTTTTTTTATTAACCTTCAATTTTTCAGCTTAAAGAGGCTCTAACCTTTGTGTTTGTGTGTGTTTGCGTATTGTCTTTATTTGTAACAAGAGATCTATAATTAGTAATAATAAGGGATGTTATTTTCGTTACATGTTTACAATAATACAACTTTATTTTCCCAAGGGAAATAATTAGCACTGTTTTTAGAGGAGTTTTCCTGTATGGCGTTAAAATAGTACAAATATAGATACTCTTATAGCCATAAGCTATACCTGCTAAGTATGAGCTATCAAACGAACTAGTATTTTTATATGATTAGTATTCTAGAGAAATAGAAGCTATAAAGACAGAGATAGATATATTATTATTAATGTCTTCCCATCAATATATAGAATATTCTGAACATATACCCAAATTGACAAATATAATAAAAGATAGATAAAAACATAAATATGAAATAAGTGGATAAATAAAAACCAAATATTAATTATAACAAGATAGAAGAGCTAGAAAGTTTTAATATTTTTGTTTATTTTCTAATTGAGTGCAATATTTGACTAAAAATTGTGTATTTACCTTGTTTTAAGGAATGTTCAATTATTTAGGTAAAGGTATAAAGTTCGGACAAAATATGAAACGTCACTAAAGGATTCTGAAAATACACCACAATAATGCTCAAATAATTGAACAATCACATAAAAATTCATAATAATTTTTTATTTTATAATTTAATACTTTTTAGGAGCAATGGCGGAGCTTCAGGAACAGCCACCACCCTTGACCTGGAAAACCCTCCGGTCCAGGCTCCCAAAAAGCAACCGGGAACTGTTAAAAAATCCTACAAGAAGGTCAAATCTGGACTTCAATCAAACAGGGTCACAACCAAATTTTTCCCCCCTCAGGGGGAAGTATCAACAGTCTTAACAATCACCCTGACTGTGATTGCGGTCTTCTTCGTGGCAAGAACAGTTTTGGGACCGATAGCGGGGCCCGGTGGCACAATATTTGCTCTTCTAGTACTCATCTTATTCGCACTGATAGGAGGGATGGCGGTTAAGATGCTGGGAATGGGTATATCATGTTTGTGCGGGGTTGATATCAGGTTACCGCCCCTCCTGGGAATGCTTATTGTTGGAATTGTGATGAAGAATGTTCCCTACAATATCGGGCAGTTTGGAAGAGAAGAATGTCAAGGAAACAGATCTGTTCAGTTTGCAGATAGTCTTAACGATCTGGACTTAAACTCTACAGATTTCAAGGAAAAGCTCATGGGGTTTGATGTAAACATAGAGAAATATGGAGTTCTTCATGAATCAATGGACCTTCCTGAAAAGATGGGAAGCAATGACTTTAAAACTGTTGGAGTAAACAGCAGGAGGAGAAGAAGTAGTGGTAGTCATCCTGAACCAACACTTATCCAAGAAAAATATGATCCTTGCAGGAAGAAATATATAGGTCATGAATTAGATCCTCTGATCTCCAGGAGTCTGAGAACTATCTGTTTAACCGTGATCCTTTTGATGGCAGGACTTGAACTTGATCCGGTAGCATTGTGGAACCTTTCAGGAATGGTTGTCCGAGCAACCTTTGTTCCATGCTTTGTGGAAGCAATAGCAGTTGCTGTATTCTCAAACCTGATTTTGGGATTTCCATGGAGTGTTGGATTCATGCTTGGATTTGTTCTAGCGGCTGTATCTCCAGCAGTCATCATCCCAAGCTTGATGAACCTGTCTGAACGAGGATATGGAGTAGCAAAGGGTATTCCTACTCTTGTTATAGCCGCCTGTTCAGCAGATGATGTTGTGGCAATCAGTGGATTCGGAATCTTCTTGGGGATAACCTTCAATGCTGATGCTCCTGTCCTAGACCTAGCACTGCATGGTCCAATCGAGGTGGCAATCGGTCTCTCATTCGGAATAGGTTGGGGAATACTGGCACAATGGATCCCAAACCAACATCATAAAAATATGGTATTCTTCAGGTTCCTAATCCTCTTCTCCGGAGGTTTGATAGCTCTCTTTGGAGCTGGTCTTATTCACTACGATGGCGCGGGAGGGCTGGCCGCAATCATCATGGCATTTGTAGCTGGTATGCGCTGGAGGAAAGAAGGTTGGGGCGATCATAACCCGGTCTCAAAAACTTTCAGGAAGATGTGGATTATCCTTGAGCCGGTCATTTTTGCTCTCATCGGAACGGAAATCCAGATTGATAAGATCGATCCTGCAACCCTTGGTTTAGGGATTCTAGTTCTTGTGCTGGCTCTCACCCTTAGAATGATCGGAACCTTCTTTGCTGTCAGCTGCGGAAATCTGAACTTTAAAGAGAAGATTTTCATGGCGTTTGCCTGGCTGCCCAAAGCGACTGTTCAAGCTGCTCTAGGTAACAAACTATTTAAAGATCTTGCTAAAACTTTATTTATTGGATTTATGAAAGAAAGTTTTGAAAGAAAGCAAATTTGTAACATAAAATAAAATGAAAAGTTTTTCTTAATATAACTTAATGGTTTTGATTTTTAGGTCCCATTTTTTTGGACAACGCTATCAAGAACGGGTTGACTGAGTACATTCCGGTAAAACTTCTTCTTAATTCTTAATTTATTTGTTTTGATTTATTGACATTTTTTTTCTTTAATTTAAGTTTGTAAGTTTGACATTGATTTTTCAAGATCTAGAAAATTTAGGTTTTTACCATCCTGGTTTATTACACTTTGCAACATAGTCAACAGACCTACTACAGGCATTAAATATATATTTCTTTATTTTACTTCTTTTTTCTTCACTTTTTTTGTAAAACCAACATTTTTTGCAGTTTCCCACCGACCGATCACGGCCGAAGAAAAACATCCACCTCCATCTCTTTAAACTGGGTTTGATTTTTGAACACTAATATTCAGTATTTCATTATATAATTATTTCTAGATGGGTGAACAGATTCTAACCCTGGCTGTCCTCTCTATCCTCATCACAGCTCCCTTGGGGGCCATCAGCATCCTCGCACTCGGACCCAAGCTCCTTACCAGCAACAAGCTCGAGGCAGGTCTTCCAGTTCATGCTGAGGACCATGATGTTCATGATGAGGAAGGGGAAGAGGAGGAAGAGCATCATTAAACAAACATATATTTATACATGTACACTGTAGTTGTGTACACTTTACAACGTAGGTACCTTCTTTAACCACTTTTCAAGGTTGCTGCGTATACCAGATTATTGAGATTTTGTCCACTTGGAAAACTGGTATATTTTGTTTACCAACCCCCTCTTGTAGTTTGAAGGTTAAACTCACGTATATTCTACATCTTATATAGGATTTAATCCCTAGATTTGAGATATATGGCTATTTATTAATACAAATACTACTGCTTAAATACTGTAAATGGAAACTGTATAAATGTAAATTTTTGGTTTTTTATCTCAAAGGTGAAAATTGCTATGGACTGTGCTCTGAGATAATTTGGTAAGCACGAATAAACCAATACCTAGCAAACCTTAATTAAACTTAGAATTTCGCCTTTTTTGAGAATTATTTGAACTTTTTATAGTAAAGATTTCCCCTGTAGTACATCTCAATCAATATGGGTAGATCAGCGTGTGTTCAGAATTATAATTGTGAAATGTTTTTTTTTTTTAAAGCAATATCCAGAAAAATATGGAAATTTTCCCAAATTTAGAATAATTGAAAAGAAATTTGTCCGAAAAAGGCTCAAAAAAGTAAAATAAAAATTTGACGTTCACAAACATTTGAACCCATTAAAGTAAAGTTATTTGAAAACATACGAAATTTGAAGGAAGGACCCCTGGGTGATATGAAATATACAAAGATATTAAGCTGAATGAATGAATATATGTAGTAAAATGATTCCTCGAAATTGTTATAGTTGTCATGATTTGGTGCTAAACTGATATATGGTTGTTCATCAACTGTTCATATTCTTTACTCACTAGTTAATAGATACAATCTTGTAGATAAATATCATCAGCAAAATCAACCCTAACGTCCGAACCGGTTTTAACCTGCTCAATCAGCTAATTGAGAAAAAAAGAAAATTTAACTAAAAACCTATTTATTTTTTTTATTTTTTTTATTTTTGTTCCGTCTTCTTTTAATGGAAGAACAAGTATGGATTTAAGGAAATACAAATTTTACAACTTTTTGGTTGGTTTGATCTGAAGCTGAAAAGTTATATCATTATGAATATTATCTTAATTTTGATTCAGATATCAGAAGACAAAAATGTCTTTAAAACTGTTTTTGACCGCGATGGATACTAGATAAAGTAAATACTATATTATATTTGTGTATAGATATGATGTTCTAGATATATATATATATATTTGTTGTGTTAAACTAGGAGTGAATGTTTATTTATTTTGAAAATGTTAAATTGAAAGTAATAATGTAACATCATTTTAATAAAATATTGTAGATAATTTATCAAATAATAAACCCGTGTTCTATCAATGATCTTTCAAGCAAAGAGATTTTAGAAAACAAAATTATTTTATTTTGGTACAGGGTGTCCTGATAAACACGAGAACTAACTAACTGCTTATATCGTCATCGAACTATGTACTATTTTGATGTCTTTCCATTTAAAATTTCTAAATTAGAAATCATTTTTCAACATTCCAGATTCCAATTTGTTACGTTAAATTCATTTTGTCTTTTTATCTAAAGGGACCGTTCACCTATTTGGGTAATTTCATGGTAAACTAAACAGCCAATTAGCTGTTATACTTGATATTAGTCTCACTTTTCAAAGATAACTTTGGCCGGAGAAACAGCTGATTTATATTTCAGAATTCCAGCGCAAATGTATCTGTACCTTTGCCTTCAACACTAAATTAGACGTTTTCAGTAAAAAACAGCTCAAGACAAATTTAAATTATTAAATTTCAATGCAATGACAATCAATTAATCATTAAGCAATTTCTGTTCGATATAAATAAAATATGCTTTCTCAACTGCAATGATGCATTTGTAAATAATCCGAAAAAGTGCATGTATTAAGTTGACATCGAAAAAAATTACGAACCCTGTCTGCTGGCTGTGGGGGGGGGGGGTGAACTTATTATGTTTCATTTAAATCCCGAAGCAATACAAACTATTAAATGTTCTTAAAAAGTGTTTTTTAAAGAACGTTGAAAAAAATAATTACATTTACAATTCACTATTATTTACAACCGTTTAATTTTTTACTTGAAAATGTCAATTAATATAACAAAAAAAAGTGTCTAGGCAAAGGTATCATACCTTTTGCGCCGAAATTCTGAACGATAATCGGTTTTTTTCTTTGGCCATGGAAGTCTTTGAAAAGTAAGACCACCACCAATCAATAGCTAATAAGCTATTTAGTTTACCCTAAAATTACCCAAATGTGAACTGTCCCTTTAATGTCGTTATGATTTTTTTTAAATAACAGAGAAGGCGGAGCCCATTTTAAAAATGTCAAATAATAAATTCTTTTTTAAACTGTCATATTTTCAGCAAGGAAAAAAATGTTCAAGTCGTCTCTATGTTTTTGGTACACGCTGACAAGACAATCATTGAGCTAAAAATCAGAGAATATCTAGTCCTTTGGTTTGTATTGGGTTAAAGATTAGAGACAAGTGTACTGAAAATGAGAGAATATTGTTATTGGATGGGAGATTAGATAATATTATCGTTGGTTTAAAGCTTAGACAGGGTTAACGATAAGAGAATCGAATCAATGGTTGGGTTAAAGATTAGACAGGGCTAAAGATAAAAGAATCTAATCAATGGTTAGGTTAAAGATAATAGAATCTAATCAATGGCTTGGTTAAAGATTAGACAGGGTTAAAGACAAGAGAATCTAATCAATGATTGGGTTAAAGATTAGACAGGGTTAAAGATAAGAGAATCTAATCAATGGTTGGGTTAAAGATTAGACAGGGTTAAAGATAAGAGAATCTAATCAATGGCTGGGTTAAAGATTATACAGGGCTAAAGATAAGATAATCTAATCAATGGTTGGGTTAAAGATTAGACAGGGTTAAAGATAAGAGAATCTAATCAATGGTTGGGTTATAGATTAGACAGGGTTAAAGATAAGAGAATCTAATCAATGGTTGGGTTAAAGATAAGAGAATCTAATCAATTATTGGGTTAAAGATTAGACAGGGTTAAAGATAAGAGAATCTTATCAATGGTTGGGTTAAAGATTAGACAGAGTTTAAGATAAGAGAACCCAATCAATGGTTGGTTTAAAGATTAGACAGGGTTAAAGTTAAAAGAATCTAATCAATGGTTGGGTTAAAAATAAGACAGGGTTAAAGATAAGAGAATCTAATCAATGGTTGGGTTAAAGATTAGACACGGTTAAAGATAAAAGAATTTAATCAATGGTTGGGTTTTTTTTCGAACTGGCGCATTTAAAAAAAATACAACTATTTTCCAGTATTTTTTTCCAATTTTGATGCTCCAAAAACCTTCCTTGGAGTCATGTGAGGTCCATCACAAAATTTGTACCCGCTCGTTTTAGCCGTTTTGATGATTGTCGAATGCAAACGGACAAACAGACAATCGAAGTATATACAGGGTGTCCCACGAAACATGACAGTTGGTGATTAGTTTTGAATGTCTTCTTCCATAAATTGTATTGGTTATTTAGACTTTTTGCAGTTAATTTCGAAAAAAAAAAAAAAACATATTTTCCTCAAATTTATTTTACTTTGAAATCAATTTTACTATTATATAATTACCATTTAATATTTTATCATTCTCTTTAGTATCAAACAACTTAACTAAATATGGAAGAAGACATTTTAAACTATTCACCAACTGTCATGTTTCATGGGACACCCTGTATAATATATATAGATATAGAAGTAAACATCCTAAATGTTTCTCTTACACAATAGCTAAAAGGTGTATCTGAATAATAAAAATAAAAGATTTACCTGAATATACTTATTTAAATTGAAACTCAAGTAAAGTTTTGAAATGAAGGGTAAAGCGTCAAATATCTCAAATCCAGAAATCTTATGTTGTTTGACCTAAAAACCTGAAAATGTCATTTTATCGTATTTCCTGCAATCTTGAAATTTTTAATGATAGATAAATGAATTTTTAACTAAATATTGCTGACCTACTTACCTTACACTGTGGGCATTTAAAGGAACTGTCGTCGTAATTTAAAATAACTATTTACTTATAAGGGGCCATCCCCGATCCCAAAACTACCCTTAAAACCTGAATCTGAGCTGGAAACTTTAGAATGGTGGATATCGAGATTAATGCTTTATCCTCTCTTTTTGCTAATTTCGAGACTATCATAATCTCGAGATTATGTTAGTCTTGAGATTAAATATTTAGATCAAGAAGTTTGATTCTAGGAATGCCAGATTTGTTCGTTTTCTTGACTGGAAGAGCCTTCACTTAATTTCTTACCCATTTATTTATAGATACATTAGTTAAAATTGGTTAAAAAGAATCTTAATTGTATGATTTAATATGTTTCTTCATCGATTAATTTTTAAAATGGCCGACAACATATTCTTTATTTGTTAGAAATTTCGGATTTCTCTCATGGGATAGAATCTATTTTTAAGGCTTTAATTGGTCAATACAATTTACGAACTATATTCCTGCACTCTCATATCGGAGAAAACAATGGACGGATATCCAAAGAGAGAAAAAGAGTGGATTAAGGACTAAAATGAAAAGTTTCCACAGCAGATATTCGGATTAAGTAGTTGGGATTAAAGGTTATCCATTCTAAAGTTTCCAGCTCTGACTGGATTAAAAACAAAAACATGAATCTCGTTCTAGGTCAGACAAAGTAGGTAAAAGAAAAATAAAGTGGTATAGGATATAACCTGAGAATATCAGGCGTTAAACGACACATATTAGACATCTATCTGATGTTCCTCTTTCGAAAAATGGGTGCAACTTTCCATAGCAGTCTATAAGATCTAAATTCAATAGTTCTAACAAAGACATTTAGAGTTAAAAGAAAAAACGAAGATTAAGGAATTATTTGAAGATTTGTTTTGACAGTTTTACTAATTCAATTATAAGCCCAGTAGTATATACTATATATATACTTCAGTCATGATAACTTTTAAACTGCATACAGTGATTATATAGTTTATTAAGCCAGGACAGAAAGATTAAAGGGATTGTTCGCGAAAAATTAAAGGGGGCTTACGTCGAAAAATATTCAATGGTGATTGCTTCTAATATAATTTCTATTTGTTGCGTCTATAAGGAGACAATTGTTAAAAACGACTCATACCGAAGACCGTAGCGTCCATACAAATTCAGAAAGTTGCAATATTTAACTCGGATCGTAAAAAATCAATTTAATTCCAAACAAATCATTTAGATATTACAACCATTAATCATCTATTTTTTCAACGCATTCATATAAAATTGATATTTCATAATATTATTTACTTGTTTCAAAGACGATATACTTTAAGAGGACGATTATTTGGCCGCTAGGTGTCTCTGGTCTCGTTGCTTCTGTAGTTTCACGTGGAAGAGACTCCAACGACACCTAGCGACAAAGAAATCGTCGTTTTAAGTACATCGTATATGAAACAAGTAAAAAATATTATGAAATATCAACTGTATACTAATGCGTTGAAAATAAAGTTTTGTTTTACCAACGATTAAATTGCAATATTGAAATTTATTTACATTTTTTGTATAAAGTGCAGTAAGCTAAAAGATAAACAAGCTTGACACTAACTAGAAACATAATCTACAATGACTGCTGACTCTCCTAAGCAGAGGATGAACTTACCCATGAGCAGAGCCTTCACCCATTTTAAAGCAAAGATTGAAACTACCCCAGAGAAGAGCAAGAACTTATTCCAAAGCAGAGCATAAACCTATCTCAGAGCAGAGTATGAACCAATCCCAGAGCAGAGCATGCTACTATCCCAGAGCAGAACATAAACCTATCTCAGAGCAGAAATTGAACCTATCTCACAGCAAAGATTGATTCTATCCCAGAGCAGAGCATGCACCTATTCCAGAGCAGAGCATGAAACTATCTCAGAGCAGAGATTGAATCTATCCCAGAGCAGAGCATGAAACTATCTCAGAGCAGAGATTAAACCTATCCCAAAGCAAACCATACATATATCCCAGAGCAGATTTTGAACTTACCCCAGAGCAGAGCATGAACCAATCCCAGAGCTAAGCATGCAACTATCTCAGATCAGAGATTGAACCTATCCCAGAGCAGAGCATGAACCTATCTCAGAGCAGAGATTGAACATATACTAGAGCAGAGCAAACCTATTTCAGAGCAGAGATTAAACTTATCCCAGAGCAGAGATTGAACTTATCCCAGAGCAGAGCATGAACCTATCCCAGATCAGAGATTGAACCTATACCAGAGCAGAGCAAACCTATCTCAGAGCAGAGCCAAGTTATCTCAGAGCAGAGCATGAACCAATCCCAGAGCAGAGCATGAACCTATCTCAGAGAAGAGATTGAACTTATCCCAGAGCAGAGCATGAACCTTTCCCAAAGCAGACCATACATCTATCCTAGAGCAAATTTTGAACCTATCCCAGAGCAGAGCATGAACCTATATCAGAACAGAGTATAAGCCTATCTCAGAGCAGGGATTGAACCTATCAGTTTTCATATATCTGTGATATCCGAATTATCGCACATGATTTCTCGTGTTAAATATTTTGCTGACTTTACTAGTTCCATAGACTTTCCTAGTCCTTACAGACAGCACTCAGTTTCACTGAGAACCCGGAGAACAGTAAACCTTCTCCTGAAACCTCCTCGATACTTTAGGTTAAATTTGAAGAGTCGTCATGATGTTTAAGATTTGCAGACATTTTGCTTTCAAATATTTGATCTGAATTCAGCTTCTTTCTATTTTCTCAGTTTCAATTTTATAAAATACATTGTTATAATTTAATCTCAAATGTTGTTGATCGTGTAAGGTTTCATTAAATATTATTATTATTATATGATTAGATTTCAAAAAACATTTGCATGAAAATCTTACATTATCTGAAAAGCTAAACCATTTGATCCTGTAAGGTCACGTGACCGACAATTTTCTCTAGGAAATATTATTTTTTTCTTTAAAATATTAAAAACATATTTTAAACATATTTTGTAATCATTGATTTTATCAAACCATTAATTTTCCATGACAAAAGATATTTTTTATTGACATGATGAAATGTTTGTCAGCATATATTAGTTAAGAGAGGTTTGTGCTTTATAATCTTCAAGGTCTGCAGGTCTAAAATTATCTGAAAATTCTGCGAGAAAAAGTTTCAATTGCATTTATCTATTTAATTAGAACTATAAACAAACGAAAAGTTAAACCATGAAATCTCCAATTTGGAGAAGGGTTTGTTAGATTTTGCTCTAATACTTAGGAGAAGAGAATTGAGGTCATAAACTCTGATTTTCTCATCTCCATATCTTTGCAACCCAATAACGTATAATCCTAGATATTTCAAACTATGAATCTGTAAGATCAAATAACCTAGGTTTCAACTATCAAAGGTTTTTGCCATTAGGTTAAAAAATATAAGGAAATCAGAGTTTGTGGCAAAGACTCAATTCCTTTAAAAAATCAATTCTTAATCTAATTATTGTTTTTTGTTTGATTAATCAACGCCTCCTATTATATTTGAACTTTAAGCTAGATAATTTATAAATAGGGTTGTGGGGCCCTTCGACCCCATTTTTAGCATTAATTTTTAGTTTCTTAATTCAATATCATCATCATAATTCTGAAAACCCAAAAATGTTCTTCATTGCAGAAACCTCTCCCAATGTCATTTGAGTTCGCAAAAATCTGTGTGCCCGATCGGTTCTGCCGTTTCGACGTTCACCGGATTAAAAGAAAATAACGGAGAGTATTGATAAATTTTGATAATGATAAACTTCACCTCTTCTGATAGATCTATTTAATTTATCATCTTTGAGCCGAAAGAATAGCAGATGTATTTTCAAAGGTGTGATTGTCAGTGTTATGAGACATCAATATTGATTGAAACTCTAAATAATAATTAGTGTTATGACTCAGGTTGAATTCTGATCATATTTTATATATTTGCATTTTAAAACAGAAAGGTGTGTGGAGTGAAGTTCAAAAATAACCAAATTTTTCTAGAAAAAAAAATTGGCTGGCCAATTATTTAAATCAGTAGAGTTCTGATCTATACTTTTTTTAGTGAAACAGTATGAAACAAAAACGTACTGTACGGTTCACACGGTGCGGAATAGAAAACGTACTGTACGGTTCACACGATGCGGAATAGAAAACGTACTGTACGGTTCACACGGTGCGGAATCTTTAACTCACCAAACACTAAACTCTGCACTACTAAACTTTAAACCACTAAACTCTGCACCACTATATTCTGCAACACAAAATTTCGGCCACACTATACTTTGCACCGTACCACTAAACTCTGCACCACTAAACTCTGCATTACTAAACTCTGCACCTCTAAACTCTGCAACACTAAACTCTGCAACACTAAAATCTGCAACACTAAACTCTGCACCACTAAACTCTGCAACACTAAACTCTGCAACACTAAACTCTGCAACAATAAACTCTGCACCACTAAACTCTGCAACACTTTACTCTTCACCACTAAACTCTGCACCACTAAACTCTGCACCATTAAACTCTGCAACACTAAACTCTGCAACACTAAACTCTGCACCACTAAACTCTGCACCACTAAACTCTGCACCACTAAACTCTGCACCACTAAACTCTGCAACACTAAACTCTGCACCCTAAACTCTGCAACACTAAACTCTGCAACGCTAAACTCTGCACCACTAAACTCTGCAACACTTTACTCTGCAACACTTTTTCTGCACCACTAAACTCTGCACCACTAAACTCTGCACCACTAAACACTGCAACACTAAACTCTGCAACACTAAACTCTGCAACCCTAAACTCTGCAACACTTTACTCTACACCACTTTACTCTGCACCACTAAACTCTGCACCACTAAACTCTGCAAAACTTTACTCTGCAACACTTTACTCTGCATCACTAAACTCTGCACCACTAAACTATGCACCACTAAACTCTGCAACACTTTACTCTGCAACACTAAACTCTGCACCACTAAACTCTGCAACAATTAACTCTGCACCACTAAACTCTGCACCACTTAACTCTGCACCATTAAACTCTGCACCACTAAACTCTGCACCACTAAACTCTGCAACACTAAACTCTGCAACACTAAACTCTGCAACACTAAACTCTGCACCACTAAACTCTGCACCACTAAACTCTGCAACACTAAACTCTGCAACCCTAAACTCTGCAACACTTTACTCTGCAACACTAAACTCTGCAACACTTTACTCTGCAACACTAAACTCTGCATTACTAAACTCTGCAACACTTTACTCTGCAACACTAAACTCTGCATTACTAAACTCTGCAACACTTAACTCTGCAACACTAAACTCTGCATTACTAAACTCTGCAAAACTTTACTCTGCAACACTAAACTCTGCACCACTAAACTCTGCAACACTAAACTCTGCAACACTTAAATCTGCAATACTAATCTCATTTCCCTTGAAAAGTGTTTTTCAGGATTTAAACATTGATATCAACTTTAATATGGGGAGTATAATTTCTTTCGTACGGTCCAAAACATGACAATTTTTCTACAGTCTTAAACGAAAACATCTTGATAGTGTTTATTTCTGAAAGTACACTAATTAGCCTAGTTTCCGTACAAATCTCAATTAGCCCAGATCTTGAATCTTGAATTAAAAATGCTGAATATGAGAATGTGAAATGTATTTTTGTTGTTTAGATAATACTTACAACATGGCAAAGATATCTCACTTTTTTAATATTTCTGTTACGTACTTTGTTCAAAGAAAATGTACACTTGCCACTAAATTATTTATTCCCAATATCTTTACAACCCAATGGTAAATCCTTGGATATAACTTTGAATACCTGAACAGCATACATATTTTATAATATTTTAGGTTTACGACACAACATATAAAAATTTAGGGTTAGAAAAATAGAGAATGTGACGAGTAATCAGTTTTATTGTTCACTCTAGAATTGTGAATGGTGTTGTAATTGAAGGTAATGTAAGCGTAGTTTTAAATAAACCCTCGATTCCAAGATGGCAATAATCGATTTACTACGCTATCCTTAAATCGTTTTCTGATCAAGTATCAAATAGATATAAATGTTTTTATTCAGATTATAATCAGTTGCGGCTTTTCTGCATAAACGGCTTGCGCATTCTTACTTATAAGAAACAACGGAGAAACTAATAGAAATAAACACTTTTCGAGTCAGAACAACTAAGATATTTCTTTCACATTTTTGAGCAAATCAAGGTTACCATATCGGACATTGTCTTTTTGCATGGAGGGTCACTTGAAATTACTCGTATAGTCCCTTTAAGTAAAACAAAAATAATTTGTTGAACAGTTTTTTCAAATTATTTATGCTAAAAGTAGACAGTTTTTACTGTAAACTAGACAAGAAGGAAATCTTCTAAATATCTTCACGAGTAAAGGAGTAATGATTGAAAACAAATAATAATTCAATCGTACGTTTAATTTACTCTAGTTTAACGTGTGCAATACTGGCTATGTTCCTGGTCTAGCTTCTTTACTTATAATATACAATATATTTAACCCTATCCCTGCTGGGGTACTTGAAAACCAGGATACGCTGGGGGGGGGGTTCAATTTGACCCCCCTCTAAATCCCATGTTTTATGTCCAAATATGACAAATGATACATCATTAGAAAGCTCTTGTGCTCTACTTTTAGAATCTGCAAAAAAAAATTTGCAAATTTGCGAAAATTGAATTTTTTATCGCAAAATCCAGTTTTATAGTAAAAATGTTTGCAAAAAAAAATTTGTCCAAAAAATGAAAAATTATACATTTTTGAACAGCCCTTGACCATGCCATTTCAAATATGCAAAAATTTTTGCAAAATTTTAAATAACCTGATTTTTAATCAAGAAAAACTAAAAATGTGCAAATTTCCTTTGACAGGTTGTTTGCAAAAAATTTGCAATTTTTTTTTCGCAAAACTTGTGCAATCCGTTTCCTTATGTCATAGGCTTTCCAAAAAGCTAAATTTTATCAAAATCTGACAAGTGAAAGTGGGTCAAAACAAAGATTTAGTTTGTTAAAGGCAAAAGCAGTCATTCAGGCAGTGTGCCTGAGGACTCAGGCAGTTAGTATTAAAGCCCGGTTTTAGGCCTAAAGGGAGGGCTTTGGGTATGTAAGAAAAGTCAGAAAATTTCAACAGCCTCAGACCAATACTTTTTGAGTTATGTAAAAAAAACTACAGGGGGGGGTCAATATTACCAAAATTACCCCCCCCCCCCCAGGAGGAATAGGGTTAAATGTTTTTTACAAAACCTAGACAAATACTGACAAATTTTAACAAATCTATTTTCAAAATCCTTATTCCAAAAGCACTCTGCCTCCCCACAGTGGGGTATTTTAGAGGGCCATGGGGGGGGGCTGACTGGTTTTTTTTCACAATACTCATGCATTTGTCTTGTGTTTCGTGGTGAGAATAAAGGACAAAATGAATATATTCTGATAATCTTTTCATTTACAAATATTGTATATGAATTGTCGCTTGCAATAATTCATAATGATTTCAATTTATAATTACTTTTCCCGTTCATAAATTTATCCTTGAATGGATCCTGTAATCCCGTAATATATTTAAATATCGTCTTTGTCACAGCGAGCTTTTTGGAAGAACAACATATATTTTATAGCAAAAGCAAAAGAAAGCACAGGGGTTTCGGGGTAATCTAAATATAAAAAATTTTCTAACAGCCATACATAAAAGATCCTTGATTTAGTAGCGTGTTGAAAAATGGTATCTTAAGAGTTTTCAATGAAATAGCGGGTTTTTGGTCGAAATTCTAAACTAAAACATAGCATTTAAACAACTTAGAGACTCCTTTCAAATTATATATATATGTTGCCTATAGCCGGCCAAACGACTGGACCGATGGGGCTGAAATTTTTTGTGATTTTTTTCAAAATTGTTTGATCAAAATAAAAAAAAAATTTCTACGGCAACGTCGGGCCCTTCAGCTAGTACAATTTATTTAGATAAATAAGAAAAAGGTATAAAATATCAAATATATCAATTACTTAATAGTAAATACGAAAAGTCTATGTTTAATGGGTAAAAATTGGCTTTAAAGTTTAGTCACATTGGACTTCAAGGAATACCTCTAGTTTACAGTGCTCTAAAGTTATATAGAAGATGTAAAATGATGGAAACTGGAGATATCTTTGTTTTTCTAGTTGACAATTTGAAAGATCAAGATGTCCCCTTCCCTATCGTATTTCCGATATAGATGTAAATAGTACTACTGTGAATTGGTTACGGCACTTTTAAAGTCAGGAGAAACTAACAATAAAATTATCTAATCTGAAAAACTGGAAATAATCCGAAACTAATTTTAAATAATATTTCTAAAATAATTTAATTCTAATTTTAGAAAAATTGTTTCAAGGTCTTAAAACAAAGATTCAGCAATAATTGAATTACAGAGTATTTTAGACGTTTCAAAAAGAAATAGTAAAACTAGACATTACTTTTATGTCAAGTTTAAGCTGAATTGGTATTTAATACAAATATGTTGTCTGGGCCGCGGGATAGGGCAGTGGTCACATAAAATTCTACTATATTGGTACTATACATATTGGTACAACTTTGTCACCTTGTGTTTTTATGTTCAAAGAGCTACACACAAAGATAAGGCTGTAAAGACATGAGGGTCCCCAGGGGTAAATTTAGTTTCTGGCCTTTAAAGGCTCATTAAATGATTCGGAAAAAAAGAAAATCATGAAAATAAGAAAACAGACAATATCGTCTCTATAGCATCATCCTTTGTAGGTAATTCTTTTTTATTTCGACTATACACCGTTCAACGATAAAAATTGATCAATTGTCAGATAATTTCACCTAATTTTTAATTAAGAGCACTTTTAACGGTATTGTAAGTAAGTAATTGTCTAAAACGACGTCTTCCTCAAAATTACCAAGAAATGATTATCTTTATACCAATTATGATGCAGAATGAAAAGAGAAGGAAAACTTGTTAAAGGTTACATTGTGAGTAAAAGGTTAAGCTTATTAGACGGGAAACAAAGGGACTGAAAACTTGTAGACCTTTGATATTTCAAACTACAAATAAATGATTTCTGAGAAATCATTTATTTGTAGTTTGAAATATCAAAGGTTCACGTGGACCAAAGGTTGCAAAGATATAGGATAAGAAAGTTAAAAATTGTGCGAAATGTTTAGTTCCTTTCATATACGATATATTTCAGGTCATTTACGATATCAGATCATCTTTGTGGCGTCAAACATTATAGAAATCCAATGTAAAGAAATCGCTAGGAACAGCAACAATTGGCGTATTTTCCGGGAGAACATTTTCATATTTTTGAGAAATTAAAGTTTTTGTAAAACGTAGCTTATCATTATCATTATCATAATTTCTATTTTTTAACATACCCTAGACACTAAACAACTAACTAGATTAATATGTACATTAGTACTGCTCTCTATTGTGTTTAAGGTCCCCCCAGATTTTATTATGTACTGACAACATAAATGAATGATTATATCGTTACATAGATTGCGTGTTACTATTAAAAAAACTATTTTATGAAAATGATATGTACAGTTTTATTTTTACAAAAAAAATTCTCCAGCAATGCTAATACCATCTCATAAAATTCCGTGTTACCATTTAAATAAAACGATTTTATGAAAATTATATCTACTTTACACTGATTATTTAATTTCTTAAAGATATAAAATAAAAATTTCTCCCGGAAAATACGCCTTGTTGCTACACCTAGCGATTTCTATACGTTGGACTTCTATAATTTTTGACGCCCAGAAAACGCCATCTTTTCTTTAAAGTTGAAAAATCAAATTTTATAATTTCTCCTAACTCTTCTTTTTTCTCCAAGAATGAACTTTTTGTTCCATCTGGGATCGGCTGCCGAAGTGTACTGCAGATTGTAGAGTACAGACTGCAGGGAAGTGTACTGCAGATTGTAGAGTACAGACTGCAGGGAAGTGTACTGCAGATTGTAGAGTACAGACGGCAGGGAAGTGTACTACATACTGTAGAGTAAAGACTGTACTACGCTGTACGGTACATGGCTGATTCTGAAGTTACAAGATGGATAAACATATAAAAGCTGTTATTGCTGACACCCATTGGTGCAATTTTGGATCAAAGGAACATCCAAAGGAGAAAACTAGGTAAATTTTAAAAATAATTAGAAGCATAAAGGAACTTTAAAGCCTAATATCAGGTGAAATTCCGGATTCACAACGGTACCCGTAAAAGCTTTGTCTGAAAAAGTATAAATTATAATGTTTATAACTCTGAAAACTAATCATTTTAAAAAGTGTTTGCTCCAAAAAAGGGACTTGCGTTTTTCTACTGCAGAAAAAAAATAATTGTCAGAATTAAACACTTTTAAAACTAGAAAACTACAATTTCTTGTTAACATGATTGATCAGAGAAAGGTTTCAAGAGTATATCAATGTTAATCAGGCATTGTCATCTTTGCATGGAGGCTGACTTGAAATTACGGCCTTACAGTCCCTTTAAACTTTGTCATTTATTTGTTTTATCTTTCCAACCTAAGCATGTGAATTTTAAGCTTTTGTCAATATTTCAGAAAGCTGTGACTTTCAATCACAATTTGACCTATTAAACATAATTTATTTTGCCTTTTTCTGATATCATTTTTTGCCGACATATACTTTTTGTATGAAAAGTATTAAACAAACAAATCCGTAAGTTTATACATTGTTTAATTATTTACCAAAACGCATATGACTTTAAATAGAAGAAACCGAACGCCTCGCACTCTGGTTAGTCCGGGGTGTAATGTCAAAGACATTATAACCTATGAACTTGTATATCTTGTTGTCAAAGTTTTAAATTTCAAATGTTCACACCATCATATGTAATCATAAAAAATCGGAGTTTGTGTAAAGAACTCAGTTTTAATTCGAGATTATTCTTTTACAACAATTTTTTTCTCCAAATATACTTTTCAAAAAACGACAAAAGTAATTTATTAGTGATAGAAATGAGTAAAACTTTGCAATAAAACCGTATATAAGTATAATTGTAATTAATTTGTCTAAAGCGTTTGGGTAGAATTCAATAAATAAGGGAGAAAGAAAATGAGTCTTTGCCACAAACTCTGAGTTTCTAATCTTCGTAGACCTTAGATATTCTAAATTATGAATTCTGTCAGATAAAATATTCTTAGCCTTAGAGATAATATATACCATTGGATTGCAAAGATATAGAAATTAGACAAATTTAAATTTGTGAAGTTCTTAAAAAGAGAAAATAAATTTCAGGAACGACGGGAAATTGTATTCATTCCCACCCCTTCATTTGCCAATGTCGACAGTCGAGTTGACAGTAATATTGAGAACCTAGGTGTTTTTAAAACTTTGAAATGTCCCAATACTGAAAAAAATAAAGACAAGAGACCAATCAAATTTCTTTTCTTTTCTAATATATTAATGTTTTATGAAGAATTCATCAACAACTTTTTAAGAATTTATTGTATCATTTCTATGTTTATGTTTTATATTGATGTCATAATCATATTAATATCTTTGATTTACTCTTTCTGAACTGTCGCATTGCAGTCTTTCAAACTGGAGTAAATTGGTCATGCAATATTTTTACACTTAACAGAGGCAGACATTTTTCAATAAAGACAAAGCAATTTTTCATTTTGTTTAAAGGGACTGTAGAGATACGTTGATTTATTAGTTAATTGAAAATTGGGGTGTACAACTTTCTTATTACATCTAATAAAGTCCCTTTAATCCTAAATAAACTGGACACAATGAAGATGAAAATCCCAACCCTCCCTCTTTACAGAATTAAGATTTAAAAGTTGTAATTTCAGTTAATTGTTCTGTATTCAGTAAGTTAAAATCTTTAATTTAGTTTGTTCAGGGGAACAGAAGCTACTTATGGATCCGTAGAAAATGTGGACCCAGAGAACTCTATGAATCACCCCCCGGCTCAACCTGGGTGTTTATCCAAGACCATGAACAAGATCAAGATCACACTGCAGGAGAATATGTTCACCACTAAATTCTTCCCTCCACAGGGCAATGTAGCGTCTGTGTTAACACTCTGCTTTGCTGTAGTATCCGTCTTCTTGATGGCCCGGCTTGTATTTGGTCCTATTGCTGGTCCTGGAGGCACTATCTTTGCTCTGCTCATCCTTATCCTCTTCGCACTCATAGGAGGACAACTCATTAAATTCATCGGAATCTGTTTGTCTCGTATTACTGGGATGGATATACGACTTCCTCCCCTTCTGGGGATGTTACTTGTGGGTATACTTATGAAAAATGTGCCTTATAACTTTGGTCAATTTGGTCGAGCGGAATGTTTTGGAAATAGACAGATGGATTTTGTCGACAGCCTTCATGACTTTCCTGTCAACACAACGGAATTTAGTGAAAACTTTAAAGGAAAGTTTATTGACATTGAATCTTACTCGGGGAAAGAATCTGGAGAAATTATGAACAGTTCTGTGTTGGATCTGGACAATGGAACAATGGACAGATTTTTAAGTGGAGAACAGAACTCTGGAGTAGATTTTTCTTCCTGTAAAAAGAAGTATATTGGTCATGAGCTAGATCCTGTGCTATCGCGAACCCTGAGGTTTATTTGCCTAACAGTTCTTCTTCTAATGGCAGGGCTTGAACTTGATCCTGATGCCCTGTGGAATCTCTCTGGGATGGTCATCAGAGCTACTTTCATACCATGTATTGTGGAGGCAATGTCTGTTGCTATTTTTTCACATCTCATCCTCGGATTTCCCTGGACGGTTGGATGGATGCTTGGGTTTGTTCTAGCCGCCGTATCTCCAGCAGTTATTATCCCCAGCTTATTGAGTCTTTCTGAACGAGGATATGGAGTAGCAAAGGGAATTCCAACTCTTGTTATAGCCGCCTGTTCAGCAGATGATGTTGTGGCAATCAGTGGATTCGGAATCTTCTTGGGGATAACCTTCAATGCAAATGCCCCTCTCATTGATCTGATACTTCATGGTCCTATGGAAGTTGCAATTGGTGTTTCTGGAGGTTTAGTTTGGGGTGGGCTAGCTCAATGGATTCCAAACCAGCACAGTCCTCATGTTGCCTTCTTTAGGTTCATTATCCTTTTCTTTGGTGGACTTATCTCACAATTCGGAGCATTACTAATAAACTATGATGGAGCAGGAAGCTTGGCAGTTATTATCATGGCCTTTGTAGCATCACTCAGGTGGAGGAAGGAGGGGTGGGGAGATCACAATCCAGTATCATTAACTTTCCGCAAACTTTGGATCATCCTGGAAGCGGTAATCTTCTCTTTGATTGGAACAGAAATCCAGATTGACAAGATAGATACGGAGAGCATGTGGAATGGGATCCTTGTCCTTTGCCTAGCACTCATTCTCAGGATGATTTCTACATATTTTGCTGTGTCCTGTGGAAACCTGAATGTCAAGGAGAAGATTTTCATGGCATTTGCTTGGTTTCCCAAAGCAACAGTTCAGGCAGCAATAGGTGAATTATTAAACAATAAAATTTTAGAAAAATAACATTTAAACAAAACTATATTTATTTAGGAATTTAGGTAGGCGATTTTATGAATATAATGAAGATGACTTTCGGTTTAAAGTTTGATTTATTTCAAGGTTTTTATCAGCATTGATCCACACACACATGGAAAAAAAGAGAAGCTGCCAATTACAAAATTTTTTTCTAAATAATTTGTAATCATGTAATTCTAAAAATGCTCATAAATAATCTAAACTTAAATAAAATAGTCGTCTTCATTATATTGATATAATCGCCTACCACCGTCCATAATTACTTTTTTCAGGAACTGTATTTCTGGATTTTGCAATAATGAATGGGAGAACTGACTTAATTCCGGTAAATTTTATAGGTTTTTTTTCATGCAACTAAACCCTCGCCACAAACTCAAATTTTCTAATCCTTTGTTATTTCAAACTATTAATTCTGCTAAATTAAATACTCAAAGTTTGACGCATCGAAGGCTTTCGTCATAATGTTGCCAAGATGAAATTCAAAAATTAGATTTTATAGCGATGGCTCGGTTCCTTTTAAATTTCAGTATTAAGGGCTACCATTTTTTCTTCATATCTGCTATCAGAAAATCAATTATGTAAATTTTAGAGAATTTTCTGTTTTTATTGGCGGGTTTCCAAATGTTTGGACAAAGTTTTTTTATTTTTGGCGGCTGGCCATAACCCTTCCCTCGGTGTTATACATGAATTACCGCCAAAAATATTTAGTCTTATTGGTTACAAACCACATATACTTATAGGATTTCAAATATTGTTTTCATGTCGCCTGTTTTTAACTTTATCATTAAAAACCTAAAGATTTTGCGAATTTTCAGATTATTCTATATATTTCCAAAAATTAAAAAAAAAAAAATTTCTCGGCAAAGGAATCGAGTTTTTGCCACAAACTCTGATTTTCTAATCCCTATATCTAATTCCCGCCAATAATGTAGACATTTTATATTTCAAACTATGAATTCTGTTGGATCAAATAATCTAAGTTTGAAATGTCAAAGTTTTTAACCATCAGGTTGTAAAGATATAGAAAGTTAACAATTTGAGTTTGTTGCAAAAACTCAGTTGTTTTTTAAAACTTTGCCAATTAAAATGAGAACCGAATGATTCAGCTGTTCTGGATTAAAACAAACTGAATCACTTAAACTGTTAAAAATTTCCACGTTTCCACTTAAACATTAAAAAAAATATATATATTTTTAACGACATTCTTATTTTCTTTTTTTTTCAGTAAAAAACAAAATTTTTGACAATTTTCATTTTAAAACACGATTTTTAACATTTTTATATAGGAAAAAAATTGAATCTTTGCCACAAATCCCTATAATTTTACAACCTGATTGCACTTTTGATATTGCAAACTTAGATTATTTATATATATGATAATGCAGGTTGCAAAGATATATGGATTAGAAAATTTAAATTTGTGGCTGAAACTCAAACTTTTAGAATACTTTTTAGATGGGTGAGCAGGTTTTAACATTGGCAGTCCTATCTATACTCATAACAGCACCTCTGGGAGCCATTGGTATTCTAGGACTTGGTCCTAAACTCCTCTCTTGTGATCTCCCAGCAGCAGGTCAAGAACAGGACCTGGAGGAAAACCAGGACCCGGAGACAAACCAGGACCAAACCATAGATCCGAACAGCGAGGAGGTAATTGATCTACAAAGAAAACAGGATAAATTTATTGAAAGCGAGAATAAGATCGGAGAAAGAGTTAAAGACAATGATAAAACTAGAGAGAAGGATTTACAGGAGCTTCTCCTAGTTATCAGTGAGGATGAAACATGGGACGGACGAGGAGAAAAAATGAAAGGAAGTAATGAATAAGATTTAAAATATAAGAAAATTAAAATTAAAATAAATTTACCTTCTTGTAACCTTGCAAAGATCAATGCACGCAACAATTACAGTTTACTTATCTAAAATGTAAGAATACATCCAATAAAATAAAAATTAAGTAATTAAGTCTTTGCCACAAACTCTGATTTTCTAATCCCTATATCTTTAAAACCCAATGTTGTAGACCTTATATATTTCAAAGTAAGACTTAATTCTGTTAGATCAAATAATCTAAGTTTGAAATATCAAAGGTTTAAGCTATCAGGTTGCAAAGATATGAGGATTAAAAGATTTGAGTTTGTGGCAAAAACTCAATTTTTTCTAAAGCTTCAATTTGTGTGAAGTCAGACACTATACTTTAGACATATTGTGTCATCCCCTGGAATTCATGCTAAAAATATTTTATTTAATTATGAAGAAAAAAGTAGAATTTAATTTAATATGTTACTAATTGTGTTTACTAATGTTAATATTTATTATTTATTTTATTTAAATGTATTTCCCAAAAATAAACTTTTTGTTTTGTTTATCGTTAATGTTTGTATATTGTAACATTTTATAGGAATTGCCTCAAACCTTACATATATCTGTCGTGAACCTGAGATATCTCAAACCTTACATATATCTGTCGTGAACCATAGATATCTAAAACCTTACATATATCTGTCGTGAACCATAGATATCTAAACCTTACATATATCTGTCGTGAGCCATAGATATCTCAAACCTTAAATATATCTGTCGTGAAACATAGATATCTCAAACCTTACATATATCTGTCGTGAACCATAGATATCTCAAACCTTACATATATCTGTCGTGAACCATAGATATCTAAAACCTTACATATACCTGTCTTGAACCAAATATATATCTCAAACCTTACATATATCTGTCGTGAACCATAGATATCTAAAACCTTACATATACCTGTCGTGAACCATAGATATATAAAACCTTACATATACCTGTCGTGAACCATAGATATCTAAAACCTTACATATACCTGTCGTGAACCATAGATATCTCAAACCTTACATATACCTGTCGCGAACCTTAGATATCTCAAACTTTACATATATCTGTCGTGAACCTGAGATATCTCAAACCTTACATATATCTGTCGTGAACCTTAGATATATCAAACCTTACATATATCTGTCCTGAACCTTAGATATCTCAAACGATGCATATGTGAGAACAAATTATCTAAATTTTAAATATCAAAGGTTGCAAAGATAATGGAATTAGAAAACTTGAGTTTGTGGCAAAGATTCATTGCACCCTGATGATGTAAACCTTTGATAATTCATAACTTAACTTTTTGATCTAGAAAAATTTGAAATATGGAAGTTCAAAGATTCAAGGATTAGAAAAATAAAAATGAGGAATTAAGTCTATTAAGGTTTTTTTGTAGAGGAAATTTTTTGAAACCCTTAAATAAAAAACAAAGGAATTCAGTCTTTGCCAAAAACTTCGAATCCCTATATATTTTCAACCTGATGCATATGGTTTAAACCTTTGAGGTTTCAAACTATAAAATATTTGATCTAACAGAAACATCCATTGTTTAGAAACCTAAGACATTGGTTTGAAAAGAAGGGAATAGGAAATCAGAGTTCGATTTTTTTGTTTTGTTAAAGATTTCCAAAAATTTTCTCTTATCATGAACTCTACACAAAAACTTTTCTTCTCTTATTTTGTTTTCTAAATCACCAATTAAGCACGCGAAGGAAAATCCGCTTTTATAAACCATGTTTTTTTTAAATGTCAATTTTCAAACGCTAATTACTACATCATTTTTAAAAAATATAAGTTTTCTATAAAGCAAATGAAAGACTTTATTGGCACTTTTGATTATTTATTGAAACATAAATGCAACATAAAACCAAATTTAAAATTGGTTCGATAAATGTCCGAAATGTCCGCCATCTAGTGTCTCTTGGAATCTGGGATGTATATCTCTCTACGATCATCTTCAGCTCAGGGATTGTTTTAGATTTCTTTTTGATTGACTTCGGTCTCTGCAGAGCCTCCAGGAAGTAAAAATCCTAGGGGTTCAAGACAAACTGTGTGTTACGCTTTTTATAGAACTTTATATATCTTTGAAAATAATGGAGTTATAGCGTTTGAAAATTGACATAAAAAACACTCTGTACAGTACATTGGGCTATCAACTTTGATCTTCATATGTCGTTATTAAAATCTCATCATTGGAGGGTAATCCTGTGTACAGTACACAATAGACCTGTTATAATTCTAATATTAGAAGTTTGAAGGATGTCAGAACTTTTCTCCTCTCTCAGAATACCCTGTTATAGAAAAGAAAATTACAACATGGGCCGGGGAAACTTAGTTTAGGATTTAAAAATACTTTTAATGTCCAATGTTTCCCAAAAACGTGGGACTTAAAGGTACAGAGGCCGAATTTAAAGAATTTGAGCCGCGGCTCAAATATGGTTAGTTCCACTTAAAATTGCATTCGATGTTTTAAGATTTAAGCCGGCGCTCAATAGAAACAGTTTTTTGGTAGATTTGAGACGCGGCTTAAATTCATTAAATTCGGACTCTGTAATCGTAATTGCAAGTTTTTCTAGGTTTAAAGTGTTTAATTCTGATAATTCATAATTTTTTCCGTAGTAGAAACCACGAATAAATTAATCAGTTTTTAAAATTGTAAACATAAATGTATAATTGAGACTTCATCAGAGAAAGTTTAAAGGGTTCAGTTGTAAATCAGGAATTGAGGAGAACTATACAAAACATTACTTACTGTAGTTCTATCTTTCTGGATATTACTTCAAAGCTGAAGCCACAAAAGCTCTTGTATCTTGTTTTGTTCTTAGGTTTTCCCTAAACTAAAATTAGATATAAAGTCGTCCTTAATTTTACATGTTAATGCGGCAGGATTACTGAATACAAACCCGTGATATTTCAAAACTATATTTATGTAATATTGAGAGAACTATCATGTTTTAGTCATAATCCGTAGAAACAAAGCACTATCGTTTTTAATGTTAGTGTAATAAATATTGGGTAAACATGATATTCTGTAAACCTAAAGTACGTTGTACGTTATAAACTATTTACGTTTGTAAACTTTTACGTAATTTCCCTTATTCTTTGAACTGAATTTCAAACGAATACGTAGCATGATTAGACTGTGCTGTAATATGTAACATGATTGTTTTAATCATATGAAATAGATAACTACGTAAGAATTGTTATTAAGTCTTGTAAAATATAAAACCTCAAATACATTAGTTGATATAGAAACTCCTTACTGTTTACTGCAAGTGAGTAATCGTTCCCAGGTTGAGGATTGTGCCTTTTGATTTGGCCTTAATAGTTATGAGCTTCAGATTGATATCGATAGCTAACGAGATCGCGCCCAGTGGTAGTGGCGATGATAGATCACTGATTGTATTCCTGTGGTTCCCTGTTTTGATAAACAGGTTGAGGATTGTGTCAAGAGAATCCGATTTGTACCTGGATAGATACGTTCCCAGAAACTGTTATGGAGTAGGTATTTTCTATATTAGTTCCTAAATTATTAAATTATTATTAAATTAAATTATTAAATTATTAGTTTAAAGGTTTAAAGGAATTACTCACCAGTGTTTAAGGTTTAAAGGAATAAACTGTTTAAGATTAAAAGAGACTACTTAGTAGTTTACAAGATTTAAAAGAACTACTTCTTATTTTTCAACATTTAAAGGGACTATTTAGTAGTTTACAAGATTTATAGGGACTGCTTCTTAATTTTCAACATTTAAAGGGACTACTTATTAGTCTACAAAATTTAAAGAAACTACATTAGTCTACAAGATTTAAAGGGACTACTTAGTAGTTTACAAAATATAAAGGGACTACTTAGTAGTTTACAAGATTTACAGGGACTTCTTAGTAGTTTACAAAATATAAAGGGACTACTTAGTAGTTTACAAGATTTAAAGGGACTACTTAGTAGTTTACAATTAAAGAGATTGTTCAGTAGTGTACAAGATTTAAAAAGATTGTTCAGTAGTGTACAAGATTTACAGGGACTGTTTAGAAGTTTACGAGATTTATGGTGCTTGTTCAGTAGTTTGCAGGATTTAAATGGACTGTTCGTTAGTTTACAAGAATTAAAGAGATTGTTCAGTAGTTTACAGGATTTAAAGGGACTGGTTCAGTAGTTTACGAGATTTAAGGTGCTTGTTCAGTAGTTTACAAGAATTAACGGGATTGTTCGTTAGTTTACAAGATAGCAAAATTGTAAAATTGAAAAATTAACGAAAAAAACCCTGATTTACGATCTGATCAAACGTGGAGTTTCAAGTTAAAGAGAAACTACTGATTAAGAACAAAAAACCGTAATAATTTGCCGACTGCCATACAGAACATAGACAGTTAATATTGACTATTGAGCCGCTTTGATCTGGAATTTTCCAGAACAACCCTGCATGTATGTACTATCAGGTTCACATTTCATTGATATATTCATTTCAATTGTTTAATTTATTAAATATATATATATATATATATATATATATATAAATATATAATCAAGAAACTGGATATTTCAGATTTTTCCTTCCGCTTGAATTTTTAATGCCGGGTGGAAAGGTACAAATTATAGTGTTGTCGTACGCATTTTCTTTTTAGAAAGTAAACCTGTTAATTTGTTACTATTCTTTACATCGTAAATTTGGCGGCTCCCAGGCCTTCCTGTATTCAAATCACGTGGATTTAACGGTTCTGTCAATATTCCAGAAAGCTGTGACTTTCGATCACAATTTGACCCATTAAAAATAATTTTTTAGCCTTTTTTCTTAAATACTTTTTTGTTGGCATATGCATTTTGAATGAAAATGTATTAAAAATAATCAAATCCGTAAAGTAAATAATTATTAAATTACAAACCAAAACACGTTTGATTTCAAATCGAAGAAACAGAATGCTGCTCAGGGATCCCAGCTTTGTTCATGAAAACTAAAAGTCAATTTACTCCAATTTAGAATTTAGAGGCAAAGGAATTGAGTTCTTGCCACAAACTCTGATTTTCCAATATCTACTTCTTTGCAGCCCAATGTCGTAGACCTCAGAAATTTCAAACTATTAATTCTCTTGACTCAAATAATCTAAGTTTGAAATATCAAAGGTATACACCATCAGGTTGATAAGATATAGGGATTAGAAAATTTGATGTTGTGGCAACGACTCAATTCCTTTGTCAAAAGGGTTATTTGTTATGATCGTACATATAAACAGACAAACAGAGATTACTATATTAATCTCTCTTATAGTATAGTATAGTTAGAAGGGTGCCTACACAACTTTGGAATATGAAAACGAATGTTAGCTCAAGTTATGATATCAAGTTGTCCAATAAACTACATCTACATAGCTACATCAAATACACCTAACATTGCTGAAATACTGTCTTTAATGGGTTACAAATAAAATATTCCTTCAATGCATTTTTATTAATAAATTATTTTTTGCTCCGATGACAATCATTTCATGCCTTTCTTATAAACATTTCTTTTAATATATTTGTTTTTTCATTTCATATACTTTTAACTTTTTTATTATAATAGATAAATACTTTTAATTATTTTATTATAATAGATGAATACTTTTAATACAAACATAAAAATAACCAAACATGAAAATATACAAACATGAAAATAACCAAACATGAAAATATACAAACATAAAAATAACCAAACATGAAAATATACAAACATAAAAATAACCAAACATGAGAATAAACAAACATAAAAATATAAACATAAAAAACAAACGTGAAAATAACCAAAAATGAAAAAAAAATCAAACATAAAAATAACCAAACATGAAATAAACAAGCATAAAAATAACCAAACATGAAAATATACAAACATAAAAATAACCAAACATAAAAATAACCAAACATGAAAATAACCAAACATGAAAACAAACAAACAGGAAAGTAAACAAACAAGAAAAAACAAACATGAAAATAAACAAACTTTGAATCAAAAAACATTAAAATAAACAAGCATGAAGATAAACAAGCATGAAAATAAACAAACATGAACTCACACAAACATGAAAGTAAACAAGCATGAAGATAAACTAGCATGAAAATACACAAACATGAAAGTAAACAAGCATGAAGATAAACAAGCATGAAAATAAACAAACATGAAAATAAACAAACATGAAAACACCCAAACATGAAAGTAAACAAACATGAAAATAAACAAGCATGAAAATAAACAAGCATGAAAATAAACAAGCATGAAAATAAACAAACATGAAAATAAACAACCATGAAAAAAAAAAACATGAAAACAAACAAACATGAAAGTATACAAACATGAAAATAAACAAGCATGAAAATAAACAAACATGAAAATAAACAAACATGAAAATAAACAACCATGAAAATAAACAAACATGAAAATAAACAAACATGAAAATAAACAACCATGAAAATAAACAAACAAGAAAAAATTAACATGAAAATAAACAAAAATAAAACAAACAAACCTGAAAATAAACAAGCATGAAAATAAACAACATGATAATAAACAAACATAAAAATTACAAATATGAAAATGAAAAAAAAACATGAGAATAAACAAACATGGAGAACATAAAGTAAATAATAAACAAAAATTAGCTGAACATGAACTTTTAAAGGCCATATTTTAGGCAGAAAATTTTATTTGAATTTGGGATCGTCATATTTGAAGAGTTTCAAGTCGTCTGTACAGTCTCTTACTTTGTGGGTAACCCTGTACATCAAATACTGCAGTATATAACGTTGAAGTATAATTGATCTTTTTGTAAAACCTTTTTACCATTATTAATCCTGTCTTTGCTTACAAATCATACAAGGGACTCAGGGGATACTTACCAATTCTCTAAAAATAGTCCAATGTGAACAAAATTCTACACGGTCACACGCAGTATTTCGCCAATTACTCATTCTAAACTAAGACTAAAGAAACAAGCGCTTTGCCGTTTTAAAATGAAGACATTTGGGGCAAAATACAAAATACAAAATACAAAATACAAAATACAAAATACAAAATACAAAATACAAAAAGTGCATTGGTGAAGTAAAAATCGACCCGGTCCTAATATGTAAAACAAAATTTTAGAGTTGTCTGGATCTCTTTAATTTGAATTATGTTTGATTTTTATTATTTTAATGAGAGGGTTCATAAGAATTCAAAGAGTGACATAGTTAATTCACAACGGTACCCTCTAAGAGCCTCTATCCGAATCTCTTTAATTTGAAATATGTTTGATTTTTATTATTTTAATGAGAGGGTTCATAAGAATTCAAAGAGTGACATAGTTAATTCACAACGGTACCCTCTAAGAGCCTCTATCCGAATAACAACGCTTTTATATGTTTAAAAGTCAAAAAGGAATTCTCTTCCCTAAACACTGATTTTCGAATCTCTATTTCATTGGAACCCAAAGTCATAGACCTTAGATATTATTTCTGTTATATCAAATAATCCAAGTTTAAAACGTTAAAGGTTTTTACAATCAAGTTACAAAGATATAGGGATTGGTAAATTTGAGTTTTTGACAAAAAACTTAATTGCTTTGCAATGGACATTTACTAGAAAAAAATCATAATTGGATGTTGGAGATTGAGCAATGAGCATGCATTTCGGAAAGATACCTCATAGAAGTATAGATTAATTCAAAAAGAGAAAATTAACTGCGGGATGTAAGCTTATATTAGTTTGATATTTAAACTAGTTTTGTAATTACCAATATTATTATCTATCTATCAATCTAATGACAGGTTTAAACATGCAGCTTGTACTTTCAACATTTATCAATCAGTTGATGAAATTAATAAATGGAAAATTTATATATACATACATAGTACACTAGCTAGGATTCCCGGATTTTCCGTGGAATTTTTGAAAATTGCTGATTTTTTTTGTTTTTGTCTCCCTGGGGTAAAAGATGTCAGAGAATTTGGTGCAGCCGTTCCACCAGCTATAACTAAAATGTAAAAATATCGAATTTATAAAAAAAAAATTCGTGGATTTTCAAATTTAATGACAATCAAATTTTGTTGGAGGCAAATTTTTGAAACTTTGATCATCCATAAATATTCCCGAGGGTCATGTGATGTCCCATACAAAATTTCGGCCCAATAGTCAAGGTTTTATGTAATTTTCTGGGTGGGGTGTCATGCAGTACATAAGACATAGGACCCTGGAATTACAATTTGTATTTGATTTTCGTAAAGTTAGTAGTTGTCAAAAGAATATATAAATACATTGTAAGCCTTTTAAGCTTGGTAAAGTATAGCCTCCTTCTTTGTATCATATAAATAGTCGAAGATACTAAAGATTTAACCAATCATGGTTATATTTAATACTTTTAATTTTAGTCAAATTTCTCAATATCTTAGTCAATTCAAAAGGTACAAAAACGGCAGACCACATTTTGGGAATCTCAAAACAAGAGGCATTTAATGTTACCAACTTTTGGGCGGTCATGTTTACAAGATTTTAGCGACAGTATCTCATTTCTGTTTACTCCAGGGCCCACGATCTACCAAAAGCCTTCTCTGAATTGGACCGGCCTTAACTTCACTTCAAAGTTTTTTAAAAGAACAAATTATTTTCAAAGGATCAACGACAGCCAAGTTGAAATTTTGTTAGAGTGTAACTTTAAGTACTACATGCAAAGATTAAAAAAATTTCTCAAAAAATCTAGGGCCCACTGAGATATAACAGCTGTGAAGCCCACCCACAAAATTACATGTACGCTAGCCCAGATCAGTGTAGATCGATAGATAGAGGCATCTCTATAAGCGGGCCGTTCATATTGATATAAGCGAAGAGCTTTTCATAGTCTTTGCTACCAACTCTGATTTTCTCATCCCTATATCTTCGCAACTTGATGGTGTAAACTTTTGAAAATTTCATTCATAATTTTTTTATTATATAGAATTCTTTGTTTGAAATATCTATGAATAACGACATTTGGTTGCAAAGATGAAAGAATTAGAAAATCAGAGTTTGTGGAAAATATTCAATTCCATTATTTCTTATTTTATTGGAATAAACATTTATTCAGTAGATTTAGTTAGTTCTAAATAAAGTCTGGTCTAAAATGATTAAATGGATTTGAAAATGATTAAATGGATCTGAAAATTATTAAATGGATTTGAAAATGATTAAATGGATCTGAAAATGATTAAATGGATCTGAAAACGATTAAACTGTAGATTTTTGAACTTTTCAATTTCCGTCTGGTTGAATGCTTCTCATATGTGAAAATCAAAAACTCGTTTTACTAGTTATAAAATAGATTCATTTACAAAAAGTTAGTTGTGAGCATAATTATATACTTTTTTGTGCGTAAAATATTTAAAAATAATATGAATGATTACAGGATTCAACACACCAGCCGTTTCTTTAATGATTGTTTTTCATTTTGTTTTTAAAATTAGACAGTATTAAAGATCTCTCAACTGCTCTTTGATAAAAGCCGTTGATCAAAAACATATGAGACTTCAATATAACGTGCCATATATTTTAGTTTGGAGTGGGACGCTTTCTGAAAGGTACAGCTTAGTGAGAGGTATTTAAACTAATAAATTTTCTATATTCATCATTACATTGATAAGTTTGAAGCTTCCATGATTTGTAAAAGATAATAAAGATAATAGTCCTCTGTCCGGATCCAAGACCAGTTGATTTTAAACCCTCAAAACCAGAAGAGCAAACTCTCAGGTGTCTACTCTCAATATATTCATAAATAAATTGAATAAAGAGACTGTACACGTAATTTTAAGTGACCCTCCATTTATAAAAAAAGTAGCATGTTCGATTCGCAATGGCGCAAAAAACCCTTTCTCTGATCAACTATTAGAATTAACAACTTTCAGACCAGAAAAAAATACATTATTGATTAGACTAAAGTGTCTAGGGTGCCGTTGTGAATCGGACAGTGCCCGATGATTTGTTAAAAAAGAAAAGCATTAGGGAAATCAAAAAAAGATTGACTGACTACGATACACGAGACAAAATAAATTAAAATATTTTTTTAATATTAAAATATTTTAAGATATTATTTCAATCTCAAATACATTTGTTTAAACCCTAATTATGTTTAGAATATGGACAACCCTAATTATATTTGAAATATGGACAACCCTAATTATATTTAAAATACGGACAACCCTAATTATATTAAGAATATAGAAAACCCTAATAAAATTTAGAATATGGACAACCGTAATTATGTTTAGAATATGGAAAACCGTAATAAAGTTTAGAATATGGACAACCGTAATTATGTTTAAAATATGAACAACCCAAATTATATTTAGAATGTGGACAACCCTAATTATGTTTAGTATATGGACAACCCTAATTATGTTTGGAATATGGACAACCCTAATTATGTTTAGAACATTGACAACCCTAATTATGTTTGGAATATGGACAACCCTAATTATGTTCAGAATATGGACAACCCTAATTATGTTTAGAATATGGAAAACCGTAATAAAGTTTAGAATATGGACAACCCTAATTATATTTAGAATATGAACAACCCTAATTAAGTTTAGAATATGGACAACCCTTATAAAGTTTAGAATATGGACAACTCTAATTATGTTTAGAATATGGAAAACCCTAATTATATTTAGAATATGGACAACCCTAATTATATTTATGATATGAGCAACCCTAATTAAGTTTAGAATATGGACAACCCTAATAAAGTTTAGAATATGGACAACCCTAATTATGTTTAGAATATGGACAACCCTAATTATGTTTAGAATATGGACAACCTAATTAAGATTAGAATATGGACAACCCTAATTATGCTTAGAACATATGGACAACCCTAATTATATTTAGAATATGGACAACCCTAATTATGTTTAGAATATGGACAACCCTAATTATATTTAAAATATGGACAACCCTAATTATATTTAGAATATGGACAACCCTAATTATGTTTAGAATATGGACAACCCTAATTATATTTAGAATATGGACAACCCTAATTATGAAGAAGATGAGCTTGGTGGTACAACAAGAGTACTGTACGGCGCTACTCCACTATATAGGTACATGCAAGAGAAAACAGGGGACGCAAGTTCCACACCGTACTTATTTTTCAAATCTGTTACTTAAGTCAAGTCTGGTTGAAATCACGGTTTGAACATTTTTTCCCCTGAAATATTCTGTAAGCTAACAAATTGTTAATATTGATAGTGCTCAAAAAAAAAGAGAACTAAGGAGATCTTGATAGCAATCAAGGAATAATAGAACTAAGGAGATCTTGATAACACTCAAGGAATAATAGAACTAAGAGATCTTGATAACACTCAAGGAATAATAGAACTAAGAGATCTTGATAACAATCAAGGAATAATAGAACTATGCAACCCTAAATCACAATCAAGGATTAATAGAACTAAGGAGATCTTGATAACAATCAAGGAGTAATAAAGAAGGAGATCTTGATAATAATCAAGGATTGATCGAACCATGGATATCTTGGTTAAAATCAATGAATAAAAGAGCTAAGGAGATCTTTATACCAATCAAGGAGTAAAAGAATGAAGGAGATCTTGATAACAATCATGGAGTAACAGAACTAATGAGATCTTGATAACAATCAAGGAGTAATAGAATGAAGGAGATCTTGATAACAATCATGGAGTAATAGAACTAATGAGATCTTGATAACAATCAAGGAGTAGTAGCACTAGGGAGTGCTTGGTAAAAGTCAAGGACTAATGGACCTTAGGAAATCTTGATAACAATCAAGGAGTAATAGAACTAGAGATCTTGGTAACAATCAAGGAGTAATAGAACTTAGGAGATCTTGGTAACTGCAATCAAAGAGTAATAGAACTAAGGAGGCCTTGGTAACATTCAAGGGGAAATATAAATAAGGAGATAATGGTAACAATTAAGGAGTAATAGAACTAAGGAGATCTTGGTAACAATTAAGGAGTAATAGAACTAAGGAGATCTTGGTAACAATTAAGAAGTTATAGAATTTAGGAGACCTTGGTAACATCAAAGACTTAGAATATACTTAGGAGAAGACATTAGAATATTGTTTACATTTTATTGTGACGTATTTGGACAGCTCTGAACTAGTTTTGTTGAAAAACAACAGCAATTTTCAGTTGTCAAGTTTTGACTTTTAAATAGTTCATGGCTTTCCTAATACATCACAGCCTCACAGCTAGTGGAATCTACTTTGTTTGTTTTTTGAAATGCTCAATAGAAAAAATCTGATCGAATTACATGTAAAGTCATAATTCCTCATTTACCTTCCTTTAAAATTCATAAATAATCCAATTAAAGTGTTAATTGTCCTTATCTAGACGGGGCAGCAGGATTATTGGCGGAGATGAAGAACCTGCTGGAACCTTTGCCATGCTCAGGTTTTAACTAGTTTATTCTTGAAGAAGTTTAATAAAAATGTGAATTGAGTTGAGAATTTCTGTAAATATTTTATACTTCTGTTTTCTATATCGAAAAATTAAAGGATTTTTAAGAATTTTAGATTTACAAATGAATTCCCAAAAACCCATTAAACTGCAGAATATGAAGACTTATATACAACTTTGTAGAGGATATGAAATCCCTGAAAGAGGATTATGAAATCCGCTAATCAGTTGTGTCTGACCCTGGAACCGGAGAAGACCTTCTCAACTTTCTCTTCTGTAGAGGATATGAAATCCCTGAAAGAGGATTATGAAATCCGCTAATCAGTTGTGTCTGACCCTGGAACCGGAGAAGACCTTCTCAACTTTCTCTCCTTTTACACACTCGTATTTATCATGTATCTATAAACAGAAGCAATAAATGTACTTCTAAAACTTATGATTTCAAAAAGTCCAAAAAGAACCTACAGACACAGATTAATTTAATGTCATCTTCTTTTTCCACAAATTAATGGATCCTGCTGTAGGAAAATCTTTAGGAATGCTCCAAATGAATAATTTACAGCTTTCTATATTTTGTTGATTTAAAATCAACTTTTTTTGTTGTTTATATTTTAATATTCAGGAGGGGAAGCAAGCAGACGGGAACAGAAGATGACCGGCCTGATTACAGAATACGAAGTGGGTCCATTGGAGGTGTATACCCTGCCCTCAGGTAGACTGAACTAGCATCTGAAAATCATCATTTTAGAAGCACTGAAAACAAGTGACTTCAACCCCAATTTCCCCAAGAGATAACCTCGCATTTCTCTGGAAATTGACAATAATATTCTAAGAATCAAAAATTGCAAAATAATCAATTATGAATTCAAAATGTTCAACGATCTTATCTACGATGGAAATTTCATAATATTTATATAAATTGAAAATTATTTTAGGAGGTTGAGCATACAAATGGGTTTACCAGGACTACCAGTGTATGAAGAGATTGATCTGCCAGATGATAATGATGATAAACCTTCTAGCTTCACAGAAGAAAAGAAAAAGCCTGGAAGAGTGAAAAAGTCCTACAAAAAAATCAAAAGAGGGCTTCAGGGAAACAAGGTCACATCCCAATTCTTCCCGCCGAAAGGTGATGTTGCAGAAAATATAACTCTTATAATAGCAACTATAATCTTGTTCTTGATGGCTCGAGCTGTTCTGGGAACTCTAGCAGCACCAGGAGGAACTATCTTTGCAATCTTTATACTCATTCTCTTCTCACTTATTGCTGGACAAATAGTTATCCAATGTGCAGCATTGATCACTAAACTTGTTGGAGTAGACATAAAGATACCACAGCTTCTGGGAATGATGGCTGTTGGGATCGCTTTAAAGAATGTTCCATACAACCAATCACAATTTAATAGTCCTGAATGTATGAATATATCCAAATCTATTCATGACCACAGTGATATCGATGTAAACTCTACTGAATTTGTCAATGAGTTGGGAGGTTTTAGAATAGATCCAAAGGATGTTCATATAAACCATCAGCATAGTGATATTGCAAAGAGTTTGAAAAATATTGATAATATAAACCTACATGGTGAGAATTCGGTAGATACTGAAAATCATCCTAACTCAGGTCCATCACATCACACAGGTGTAGAATCTATTTCAAACAATGAAGATCATGCAGATCAGAATAAAACTGATGCATCAAAACAAGAACCTGATAATGAAGAAAAGCATGGTTTGAACCATGTAGAGGAAAAAGAGGTTTCTCATGACATCTCACATGACTCAAATGTTAAAACTGTTCAGCAAGAAAAGCATAATCATGGTGATGATCAAACAAAAGATGAACATGGTCATCATATTACTACAGAAGAGAAAGAAGAGGTAAAGCATATGCAGGTGTCTATCATGAAAGATCACAATCATACTGTTCAGCAAGAGGAGAATATCCATCATGAAAAGGAAGTAATGAATATCCCAGTACATAGGACACCTGATAACCATCATATGATTCAGCAGGAAGAGGATAGTAACAACAGTGAACATTCCCATGATGAACATAATCATTCTATAGTGCATGACAAGAAAGAAGAAATAAAGAATACACCAGTGCATTGCACACCAGATCAACATCATATGATTCAGCAGGAAGAGCATAGTAACAACAGTGAACATTCCCATGATGAACATTACCATCATGAAATGCATGAAAAGAAAGAAGACATAAAGAATACACCAGTGCATATCACACCAGATCGAAATTATACGATTCAGCAGGAAGAGGACACCAGTCGCAATGAATATTCCCATGATGCACAAGATGTTATTCATAAAAAGATAGAAGAAGTAAAGCATACACCAGTGCATACCACACCAGATCACAATAACAAGTATGAACAGCTTGTTAATAATGATAACCCAATCAATGAAACTAATATTCATAGTTTGGCCAAGGAAGAGAAAGATGAGGTAACCCATGTGGAGCCACATTCTCTACAAGATCATAATGACAAAAAAGTAGAACATGGCAGAAGTGATGAACAAACCAAACATAAAGATATCCACAACCAGAATCAAGGTGAAGTAAAAAATCCAAGACAACATTTGCATACCGATGGAGAAGCACAAAATCAGAACAATGAAACAGTCCATAATGAAAATAAAATGATTTTAAACCACATGGAGGATGAAAAAAGTCAAGATTCCCGTATGACACCACATAGCATATATGATCATAACGAAAAGAAAATTACCCATCAACAAATTGATAACCTAAACAATAAACCTATCACAGAGGTATTGAATAGACCCCTCAACAAAAATGAGCTTAATAACGATGTTAAAGACTCAAATGATATAAATGGGCAAGGTATAAGTCAACAAGAAAAGAAGGAGGCATCCCAAACCCCACAATATGAATCAAAGAATCAAAAAGATGAAAACGGTCATGAAATGCATCTTCATGATGTAAAGAGTGACAACATAAATCAAGATAACAAAGAACAAGCATTAGCTAACAATAACACCAAGATGAAAACTACTCCGGACGATGCAGTTTTGAATGGCACTGATATCTCAGAAATAGCCCAGGGTGTAACAAAACATGATGTAGAGGCAGCAGTCACTAAAATCTATCAACAAAATGTTCTTTACAATAGTTATGAGAAAGATGAAAGTACTACTGAAAATTCAGCAGAAGATCTAGTTGACACAAAAATTCAGAACAGAAGTAGGCGTAGCAGTGGACATGATGAACCACAGATTTATGTTGATCCTTGTAAAAAGAGATTTATTGGAAATGATCTTGATCCTCTTTTAACAAGAACACTAAGATCCATATGTCTGACAGTTATTCTACTCATGGCAGGTCTTGAACTTGATCCTCCTGCTCTCTGGAGACTCAAATGGATTGTACTCAGGACAACTTTTATTCCTTGTATCATAGAAGCATTTGCAGCATCTTTATTTTGTTATCTGATCCTTGGTTTTCCGTTTTCTGTAGGACTTTGCTTTGGATTTGTTCTGTGCGGAGTATCTCCAGCTGTTATTATTCCAGGATTGGTGAATCTTAGTCAAAGAGGATACGGAGTAAAGAAGGGAATACCAACACTTGTTATCGCAACATGTTCAGCTGATGATCTTGTGGCTATTGGAGGATTTGGTATTGCACTGAGTATCACATACAACCCAGATGCTCCTATTCTATCTTTAGCCTTCCATGGTCCTTCAGAAGTGATTATGGGTATTGCATTCGGAATTTTCTGGGGTTATATTTGCCAATGGTTTCCCAGCAAACAAAACCCAAATCATGTCTTGTTTCGATTCATTATTCTCTTTAGCGGAGGGCTCTTTGCCTTGTTTGGAGCCCATCTGATTCATTATGATGGTGCGGGTGGTCTGGCGTGTGTGATCATGGCATTTGTTGCCTCAATTCAGTGGAGAAAAGAAGGATGGGGAGATCATAATCCTATAACTGACATCTTTGGGAAAATGTGGATTATCCTTGCACCCATCATATTCTCTCTGATTGGAACCAACATTGTGGTTGAGAAGATGGACGGTGAGAGTGTTGCTCTTGGTATTGCTGTCATAGTACTCTCTATGATTGTAAGAATGGTGTTTACCTATTTTGCTGCTGTTTGTGGAGGAATGACTGCAAAGGAGAAAATATTTCTGTCTATATCCTGGTTACCTAAGGCAACCGTTCAAGCTGCTCTGGGTAAGTTATCATATCAATGGGACATTTTATTGTAAAGCACATTACTTTTAAAGGGACATTTTATAACAAGAAATTAAATTTTTTTTTAAGATTAGGCCTTCTTCTGTTGGATATCATAGTTACGGATATACAAAAGGCCTAATGGTATATAAATAAACATATAAGAATTTTTTCAATAAGAAAAGCACGTTTCATGTAATGTTCTATCTTTAGACCTTGCAATTCTTAATTTCCTACCATTCAGATTTTTTTTATAATTTGTTTGATAAATAGTATTATTTTACAGGCCCAGTATTTCTGGATAATGCACTAAGAGATGGAATTACTGAGTATATTCCGGTGAGATAAAAATGTTTAGAAATATAGGGTTTTGATATTTAAAACTTCTTTTTTCTTTCTTTTTTAATGTTTGTTTGATATAAAGATAAAGTATTTAAAAGTATTGTTATCTAATATGGCAAATATTTGGAAATCTATGGCATTTTTATCTAGCAGAATTCATAGTTTAAAAATTCTGCAACACAAGGTTAAAGCGATATACAGATTAGAAAATTAGTTCCATTTTCTAACTTTTGTCCAAGACAATAAATAGCAATGCAATTGACATAATTAATAACTTACTTTGGGACTTCATTTTTACTATATAGGGAATAATTTTACTAGCCTAAAACTTTTATTTTCAACCTTGGGGTGAAAATTTTTGAAATTTTAAACTTTGACTTTTTGATCTAGCATTGTACATCATGTTGTAAAGAAAAAAGACATTAGAAAAGTGCAGTTTGTGGCTAGTAATCAGGTCCATTAGATAAAATTACCTTTTTAATTTTTCCAGTACGGAGAACAGATACTTACGATGGCAGTCTTGTCAATTGTTGTGACTGCACCACTTGGTGCAATTCTAATCCTGGCTCTGGGACCTCTCCTGCTTCAAAGTGATATGGTGGACGAGGATGATGGACAAAGGTTTGATATGGAAGAGATTGGAAGTATGGAGAAGGTTGATGAAGAGGATGAGGATGAAATCAAACAGCATTAAAACTAAAAAAATAAACATAAGTTAATTTATCGTCTCGGCCATAATAAAAACTTTCCTTTAATTTTTTTTCATTATCCAAACAAGATGGATGATTCACAAACAAGATGGATAATTCACAAACAAGATGGATAATTCACGAACAATATAGATAATTAACGAACAAGATGGATTATTCACGAACAAGATGGATAATTCACGAACAAGATGGATAATTCACGAACAAGATGGATAATTCACGAACAAGATGGATAATTCACGAACAAGATGGATGATTCATGAACAACAAAAATAAGATAGAAATCTTGAAAAACAGAAAGGTCCAAATACTTGCAGCTGATATCATCTAATCTATATATAAATTTGGCTTGTCTGTTTGTCTGTTTGTATCCAATAAACGTCAAAACGGCTGAACCGATCTGGCCCAAATTTTTTGTGGCACCTCCCGTTATCCCAGGGAAGGTTTATGAATGATAAAAATAAAAAAATGTGTTTTAAAGGTTTTTAATTTTGTAAAAAAATTTAAATTCTTAAAAATCCGCGAATTTTTTTTTTTTAAATCCGCAAAATTTTTTTTTTCTTTGTTTTTAAATGTAAACAAAAAGAACATGTTCACAATTTAAATAGAAGATGGGCGCGAAGCGCCCTAAACCCCTAGTTATTTTAAAAATTTGCTTTTAAAGTCCTATTCATGATTTATTATGCCTTAATTTTATAGGCGTTAGTGATATTTTAATTCAAAATATTTATAGTAATTTATTTTTTTAATACAAGTATATGATATTATTTTATCATCTTTATTTAAATAAAAGAAGTTTCATAGTTATAGGCATGTTATTTCATAACTCATAGTCATATGTGTCATAGCTATTTTTGTTTTTGTAAAATTAACAGTTTTATTTTGAGAATAAAAAAAGTGATTGTTTTTCATAAAAAAATGCTTTGAGGCATAAAATACTAGAAAATTGATTTTTTTCCCATTTACAAGAAAATATCATAGTTTTAGCTAACGCTGTAAAATATCTATTATGATCCATAAAACGTTGATTTTCCAGAATATTTATGATTCAAGAAAATTCTGTTTTATGGATTATTAAAACATCTACTTTAACGCAGACATATTCAAAATACAAAATATTTATAATCAATATTTTCCAAAGAGGATATTTACTTTTACAGAGTCCTCTCAAGCATATTCACTACCTTTTGCACATATATATAGACAGTGTCAGCTTTAAATTCGCGCAACACCTTGGTCTTTGGTTATAACTCACTTATACTTTTTGTATAGCCTCGAATTCAAATAGAGTAATTGGCAAAATACTCGCAAAAATATCAGATTATCAAATGCTAAATGATCAAAAATCTTTAAATGATCAAAAAAATGTAAGCTAAACAGTTAGGACAACTATTTTTTTTCTTCAAAAATATCATACAATTTTACGATAAAGTTAATTTTAAAGTTTAAGATATTCTTTCACGCAATCTATTTTATCTTCTATCTCTTCTCTTCTTTTTTCTACTCTTCTCTTCTATTATCTTCTCTTTTCCTTTCTTCGTTTCTTTTTTCTTCTCCTCTATTATCTTCTCTTCTCCTTTCTTCTCTTCTCTTTTCTTCTATTTGTCCTCTCTTTTTTCTTGTCTTTTCTTTTCTTCTCTTCTCTACTCTTCTGCTCTATTATCTCTTTCCTTCTCTTCCCTGATCTCATATCGTCTCCTCTTTGTTTTCTCTTTTTTGTTGACATTTAACCGGTTTTGAGATGAACAATGCAGTACGATCCGTTGTAATAAATTATAAATTGTTTATTATTTATAAAAAAACGGCATTTCCAAAGTAATTTTGCCACAAACTCTGATTTTCATATGATTTTTCTCTTATTTGGTTACATTTCTAGCTTGTAGACCTAATTGAAACGTAATGCGTTTGTACTCCATAATTAGGCATTTGATCATTTGGCATTTTATATTTTGAAATTTTTCAGTGAGAGCGTGCATCCAAAGATGGGTCCCATGCGAAAATCAATGAATATTTTGCCAACTACTTCTGTAAAACTAAAACTAAAAACAAGAACTTTAATGTACAATGTTCATGTCCAGGGGTACACAAAAAGTTCCAAAAGTATAGTGAGATTATAGTGCTGGTAAAATCAAAGCCCAAACTGCAGGCCGAGTCTTGAAAATTGATTTAAAGAAATTGAGTTTTTGCCACAAGTTTCTAATCCCTCATCCTTATGCAACTTGACGGTGTAAACCTTTTATATTTCAAATTCAAACTATTTAATCTAACAGAATTAATGATTTAAAATATCTGAGGTCTACAACATCAAAGATTTAGGGATCAGAAAATCAGAGTTTGTATCAGAAACTCAATTCCTTTACGTCCCATTCTGCAGATTTCCCCCCCCCCCTTCCCAACCATGGTATCCTAGCCGCAAACTATGCCCCATTTAAGGATATAGCCTCATAGGCCCCCCAAACCCCCCCCCCACATCTTATTAAAAAACATATTGCTATTCATCCTTTCCATGGTACAATCGCCATAGTGTCTCTATTTTTCTTACATCAAAATATAAATTGTATAGTTGATATTTGGTAAAACTTCAATTGGTAAAATCTTTTCTGGATAAATTGGTTCCTTGAAAAATATAGAAATCTACATCTGAAAACTTTTGCACATGTAAGGTACTAACTATTAGAACAGTGTTAATCGGCCTGTTTTATATTTCTACACAAAAGATAAATGACTTTATTAAACTGGTATTTTGGAATGTTTGCAAAGATTAGCAAAATTCTGCCAATTAATTGCAAAATACGTGGCATTTTTGTCTTTTATAAAGCAATGGGCTTTCAGGGCGCTTTGCGCCAATCTTTTAGCAATAATTTAAGCGTTGGAATGTTAATTTTCGAGCGGTCTTTTTCGTAATTGTAATATTCAAAATTTTGCGGGAAAAAAATTTAAAAAAAAACATTTTTTCCGCTTTTAACCTGGCATAAACCTTAACTAATACACCGAAACTTAAATTTTTGATTTTGAATTTTATTTACAAAGATAACTAGTTTCTTGCTACGAACTCTGATTTTCTAATTACTATAAAACTTCACAACCGGTGAACAAAATTATATTCAGGAATGAAGTCTTTAAGTATCGAAAGATTAAAGGCCCAAGTTGCAAAAATATAGGGATTAAAAAGGTTGACATAGGCAAAAACTCAATTTCTTACTTAAAATGCATTAACCTCATTTTTTTCCATTACCACAGCAAACTAACAGAAGGAAATTGTAAAATTTATGCGACTGTAACCATATAAAAAACAAATTTGAAAAGTTACATATTGGAAGTTCAAAACATTTTTGTGATTATCAAAAACTGGAGTCAACATAGAAAACATATAAGATTTCAATCTTACGAACAATTTACTTTTATTTGACGTGTTACGGTATAAAAGAGCTGAGAAACTGAGCTTTTGCCACAAACTCAAATTTCATAATTCCTATATCTTTAAAATCTGAAGGTTTAAACCTTTAATATTTTAAACTTAGATTATTTGATCTAACAGAAGTGCAGGTTGCATATATGATGTAGGAATAAGAAAATCCGAGTTTGTGGCAAAAACTTTATAATGCAATGTGAGATCTGTATCTAAAGAAAGGTTTCCAATCGGAATTCCGTTGCGCGGAATTATGCTCAAATTGCGCGTAATTGTGTGAAATCGTGCGGAGCTATGCTCAAATTGTACGAAATTGCGCAGAATTATGCTCGAATTTCACGTAATTGTGTAAAATAGTGCGGAGCTATGCTGAAATTGTACGGAATTGCTCGGAATTATGCTCGAATTGCGCGTAATTGTGTGAAATCGTGCGGAGCTATGCTGAAATTGTACGGAATTGCTCGGAATTATGCTCGAATTGCGCGTAATTGTGTGAAATCGTGCGGAGCTATGCTGAAATTGTACGGAATTGCGCGGAATTATGCTCGAATTGCGCGTAATTGTGTGAAATCGTGCGGAGCTATGCTCGAATTCTCCGGAATTGCGCGGAATTGTGCTAATTTGCGTGAACTATCGTAGAATTATATGGCTCGCAATTGCGCACAAGTAAAATCTACTTGGAAACCCTACTTTAGAGATCAAACACGCCTAATTGAATGGTTTTAGAATCATCCTGTTTATATCATGACATTAATTATAAAGTGGTTTTATCAACTATCTAAAAGAAATAAACTTGACTTCACGCAATGGATGGAAAACTAATTCAAGCCGGCTTAAACTGGACACAGGAGAAGTTTCTTGTTATTCAAGTAGTTCGCTCTTTCATATCTTACATCTGTTTTTTTGCATGAATTCAACATTTCCTCTATTTAAAGGGACTGTAAAAGTAATTTTAAGTGACCCTCCATGCAAAGACCTTTATCTGATCATTAATGTGGAAGATATTGTCGATTTGTGAATCTGCAATGCATTCTTTGCATAGAGGATTAATTGAAATTACACTTAAAGGGACTGTAAAGGAAAAATGAAAGAGGTATAGGATAAAACCTGAGAATTTCAGGCGTTATAAGATACATACAAAACATCTATCTGATGTTCCTGTATCGAGAAATTTATACAAAAGCTGTGTCAAATTATACGAAAATATATATATGAAATTTTGTATAAAAGTAATAGGTTTAAACAGATCATATTCAGCAAATACGCAAACAATCTGAAAACGATTATATCACGGGCAGCCGTAGTACATTTGAATTTCCGAGCCGGGTCAACCTTTCCGGTCCCAGTTTGTACTGTACCTAGCTCTATGGACAGGACTAGCCGTTGTTACAAGGTTGACGATAACAGACTTTATGCTTCATATGTTAAATTTACTTTTACTAAAGGGGCAGAGGTGCGTGATATCCCACAGAAACCTGAGAATCATAGGTTTGCTCCCATTAAATTTTTTTTTTGCATTTTAATAGATATAATTGATAATATTATTTATCAATTATATTACGTCACAAGAACTCCCGCCAATGAGAGTGCAGTATACTGGTCACGGGATACAGAGGGAAATCATGTGACCAGTATACTGCACTGCCATTGGCTGAAGTTCTGGTGACGTAGTAAGGACTATACGGACTATATGTAATAACATTATCAATTATATCTATTTTAAATGCAAAATAAAAAATCAAATAATTATAAAGGAGCAAACCTGGGATTCTCAGGTTTCTGTGGGATATCGTCGTTTTCAGATTTGTTTCGTATTTGTGGAATATGAATTGCATATATGTGAATTTCGTATAAATTTGACACAGTTTTATATCAAAAACATCAGATAGATGTTTTATATGTATCGTTCAACGCCTTTTTCATGCTAAACCTCTTCATTTTTCCTTTAGAGTCCCTTTAAAGTCCCTTCCAGTATTTACTTGATCCTACA